AATATGCTAATTAATTAGTGCTAACTATTAATTAAGTTACGAAATCAGACACAAAAACGTACTTTCTCTGAATAAACATATATTTTTTTTTACATATTTGGAATCTAGACACTTGAATTAGGGGGGGTAGACAAAATTTCAAAAAAATTGGGTGGTAAATTGGGTAGCAATAAAGGTTTATATATTTGGCGATAGTCCAGAAAACCGCCAAAAAAAGTCGCCTGCGCAAATGAATATTTTAAGATAACCCATTGACTAATTCAAAAGAGGAATGCTTAATTTTACTAGGTTGCTAAGCAACCAAAATCTGACCGTAAAAAAATTGAAATAAAGTTCTGTGATTGCTTTAAGAGGTTTTATTAATTATTAATAGAAAATATCTCGAAGTTTCTAGGCAATAGACAATTTTTAACTTCATTTAATATATATATATATATATATATATATATTGATTAAGAATGCTAAACCACAATATTTTACCCTTGTAGCATGATACTTAAATTTTTGGGAAATTGGATTACCATTGAGATAGTTGGTAAAAAAGTTATATTACGTATATATTTTTCAAACTACTCTACGATAAGATGGCTTTCGTATACTTTATTTATTATTCACGAAAGAGATTTACCATTTAATTTTGGTAAGAAAGTTTTTTGTATATATTACGTATATAACATATATTGACGTATATTTCACCATTTAGATTTTGGTAAAACGCTTAAGTATATTGTACGTAATATTGACAAAATAAAATTAGCATTTTATTTCAGTAGGAATATTTTTGCATGTTTTATGTAATATAGTCACAAGACGTAATATAGTTAATTTACTAGTTTGATTTAGTAAAAATAATTCTGTGTATTATACTATACGTATTATTGAGGAAGCAAATTGATCAATAAAACAATACGTAAAAATAACGTATTTATCCTTACCTAGTATAAATGGGTTGATAAAATATTTACAAAATAAACGAATTTGTTTATGTCTAATTTTACGTAATTTTTTCGCTTTTTGGATATCCATTTTTTGCTATAATACGAAGTTTCAATTTTACGCAAATTTTACGAATGCTTGGTAAAATTTAAAAACAAAATATACGCAATTTTGAGATGAAATTGATGGTTTTCAGGTACATGGGTAATAACTGGTCAACCAGCGGAAGTAGCCGCGAAGGCAGTTTGGGAGTTGGCAAATCAACACGAACAGGGGGCGGCCTCTCCCTAGTTTAATGAAATTCTAATATTTTGTTACTTAAAAAAAAACTATGGAGTTCATTGTTTTTATACAAAGAATGTAATGCAAAAGTAGAATTTTCGGTATTGAAATTTGACGTGTTTTCTGACCGGTGATTTTTACTTTCACCGTATGTAAAAATTCTTGAGCAATATCCGGACTGGCTACTAAAAGACTCGTAATTCAAAATGAACAAAAGCTATTACGGAAATTCCATTCATACTTTTGATATAGGATTGACATTTTTTTTCTTTTGGTCGTCCGTCTATCACAAGTAAAGAATGTCTGCTCGCAAAACATTATTATTTTATTCGGCTAAATTTATCTCTTTATTGCTTTGTAAGAATACTAAGAATTCTATTCAGCAGAAAAAAAAGATAATTAAAGACTTAAAAGTGCCAATAAAACCATGGCTTAAAAAAATATTTAAAGTCGTTTTGCTATCGATGATAGCAGAAATTTTCTTTTTTTTGTAATAACATTTTAAAAGTTTTGCAAATAAAAATCAGGGAATATGCTGGCTGATGCATTTACCGTTAAAAACATCATTGAAGTGGATTGTATAAATACATAAAAGTATCTATGTTTAATTCATGGTTTCATTTACAAAAATTACCCCTTTTGAAAAGTTTTAAGGAGGCCATGGGATGATTGTAGACTTCCAATAGTTTAAAAAAAAGTAAAAATAAAATGAAGATTATCTAATTGTCCTAAGCGATAATTCATTGTGGGTCCCAAAGCTCAATATCATAATCTTGTACTTTTAAACACATTTGAATGAGACCCAGTGCAAGTAACTATATGATTTTAATTTAACATGGTGATTAATAAAATGTGGTACGCGAATGCGTATTAGAAATTTTGAGGAATGATGAAGCACTATCGCTCCAGTGTACCGCAACTTCAATAAAATACTATATTGAACCAATTATCGTACTTCTTCAATTTGATTGCACAATATGATTCTACTTGCACTGAAACATGGTTCAATATAACATCTTATTAAGGTTTCAAATTATTCTGTATTATGGTTCAGCGAATTATGGTTTTAACGTATTATGATTTTTCGAAGACTCTGTAGTCGCATGAAATTATGTTTTTTGGCAAATAATGGGATATTTTATAATTACTGTGAGTTTGCAACTGTGACGTTTAGGTCAATTTTAACCTACCTTTAACCAGAGCCCTTAATGTTTATTCTAAAAATACCGCAAAATGTTAATATGTAGAAAAGCTAGCTTTAAGAAAATGAAAAGCGTTTGTAGTCTGATTTTGTAATACTTAAAAAACTACTCCAAAGCTGCATTACCTGGCCTCATAAAAATTTAAAAACAAATGGAAATAAGACTTTGATTTTGGATAATTTTCATCTGTGAGGAAAAATTTAGCCAAATTGGCGATTTCTTAAGAAAGTTTAATAACTCTTTTAAAATATTTTATTTAAAAGTCCGTTAATTCTTTTCTTCTAAAAGGACAGATAATTCTTTGCAGAAATATGTCGTATGCAGTATAAAATTATAGCTTTATTCGAAGTGTAAGTCACTTAAACTGTGTTTTCCCCCCCTTGGCGAAAAAACGTCGAAAAACCTTTATTAACCGAAGAGTGTAACGGGTCCCATTAAATCATTATCAGCTGCTCGTTTAAGCAAATTAAATCTTACATATTTCTAGAGTTCAAACGGTTGAACTTTTTCGAAATTAAGGTATAAAGATTAATTGTAAAACGCGTATCAGCTTAATAATTGTGTAAACCTGGATAACACACAAAGTTAATGCGCGAGAAAAAAAATTCAGTGCTTAATAATCATAAGAACTTTAACAAATAGACCTCACCTCTCCAGAAAGATCTCGAATATTCTCATCGTGGAGTTGCCGATTCTCTTCTTTTGTCTCAGTCACTGTCTGATTGCTTTCAGTCTTTTCGCTAATGACCCTAGCAGAACCGGGAACCATAACATAACCATCCCCCGGTGGGTCATCTCCGGTGGTCTTATGCTAAAACAAACAAAATCAAAATCAATCAAAAAATAATGCATGCTACAAAGACAACAATGCAAACAAAAACGATGAAACCAGGAAAAAAAAGGTTTTCTCAAGGTCAAACAGTTTTTTTTTGTCTACTATAAGAATGTGCTTTATTTCCTTAGTAACTATATCTCAATAATTAATGTTAAAAAAAGAACTACGTATTAGTTTCAATTAATAAATGTCATATTTATTATTTTTTGTAACTTGCAAAAAGACGAAAAATATTTTACAAATGCGAAAAACAAAAAAATTAAAATATTATGTTTAAAATATAAGGAATGCACTTTTTTTAATCCTCCAAATGAAGACACAATAATTCCTATTAGAATTATACGAGTTTTTTTGAAGGAGGAAATTAATTTTTTTACTATGAAAGAGTCTGCTATATTTTTTTTGGTAAATATGTATAAATTCTTTAATATTACATTAATACAAAATACATATTTTTATTTCTTTCCATCAAGGCAAATTTTATTTCACTCTGTGTACCGGATTTTCCTTTAATAAAACTTTTCCAATTAAGGAGTAGTATGCCATTTATAAAGTACCAGCACTTTGCCTGCATCATCCGTAAAATCAATTTTTATCGTAAAATATTTTACCTCAATTTTTTATAGTAATATTTATTTCATCAGAGTGATTCAGTGATTTTACAGTTATTATTGCTGTAAAAAATTACGGTATATCAGATTTTTTGCTCCGTAACACGTTCCATTAAAAATGGATTTTACGGTAAAAAGTACAGGCACTCTGAGTGCTAGTACTTTTGACATGTGTTTAAAAAATATGGAAACTTTTTGCCTTCTCTCACGGACTAATTTGCCACTACTACAATGTCGAACAACCTTAATAGTTTTAACTTTGACTCAATACTTTGAAGCTAAGAAAAGTGATAATTTTTGTAGCAGGTATAGCATTTACATTTTGTAAAACAAAATTAAATACAACTAGTGGGTTGCGCCCCCTGCTTGCTAACGCTCGCCAACCCCCGAAAATTGCCACGCAATCTTATATGGTTTGCTTCGCAAACCAAGCTCGCTTCGCTCGCTACTAACTTAGGTACATTGCACAAAATTCTAAGAATTCGAAACAATCATTCAAATACATATAACAACTTTTTTTAAAAAATAATTACATCTTTTTAATAAATACTAAGTCATTAAAATAAATTTGAATTCAAATAAATGACATGTAATTCGTTAAACCTTCACATTTGGTGAGAATGCTCCCTCTGGTTATATCAGTTTCCGTTTTTAAAAGCGCTATATGTTGAGCCACCTCAGCTAGATTTGGCATGTGACATTTTTTGCGGCAATCATTGGTCGATTTTCTAGCGTTGCCATTCGGGGAGTTGTAATGAGGCTTTTTTTGTCGCCGTGTAAGAGAAATATATATATAGATGTTTATTTACTTCAGTATTTTCAGATTCTTCAGTGCGATTATCTTCTTTCGTTTTTGTAGTTACTTGAGGCCCAGAATCAGCTACAACTCGACCGTCTTCTAAAATCAGTTGTCTTTGCACACGCGTTTCGACCTACAAAAAAATAATAAATGAATAAATAAAATTAAGAAGTAAATTAAATCTATGCTGTAAACAGAAATTTTGAAATCTTATGTTTTTTCTAATAGACCTAAAATATTTCAAACTAAAAATCATCGCTGGAAAATTTTCAAAGTACTTAATAATAAGTATGTAAATTTTGCTGCTTTAATATCTCTCTCTAGCTCTGAAGTAATTAGTAATTGAAAAAGTGTATTACTTTCTAAAAGTTTAATAAAAATTAGATGCACTGTGAAATTTTTAAAAGAAACTGCCAAAGTTTCTTTAAATTTTTTTCTTTTCATATTTTATTTACATCTTTTATTTACGTATGTAATTTCCAGAATGACAAAAGGTGCTAATATGTTATAAATTAAATGGATTTTCACTTATGTTAATAATAGCTTTCTCTGTTTGTAGTTTCAATTAACCACAATCAAATCTAAGCAAACAGATGTTTGCGTGGGGTTAATGTAAAAAGGTGGTCTATTGTGAACAAGTCTACACAGTCCCATTCAGCTTCCAGTGGGAAAAATAAACAAAACAATCTAGAAAAAGTGAAAATCTATTATAAATTAAATTGTGTTTCACCCATTTTGATAATATTTACATCTTTTATTTACATATTTAATTTTCAGAATGACAAAAGGTGATAATATGTTATAAATTAAATGGGTTTTCACTTAAGTTGATAATAACTTTCGCTGTTTGTAGTTTCAATTAACCACAATCAAACCTAAGCAAACAGGATTGCGTGGGGTTAGTGTAAGAATGTGGTCTAGTGTGAACATGTCTACACAGTCCCATTCAACTACCAAAGGGAAAATATGATTTGATTACAAATTTTAATTTGATATCATTTATTTTCTAAATTAGAAGGATTTTGTAGAATGGTACACCTTTACAAATAGTGATTTCAATCTCGTGTAAATCACGACCTCATCACGGCAAAATTTCTTCAAAATCCACTCCAAAATGTCTTTACCACAGCATCAATTGCATTCTCAACAACGTTATAAATTCCAGAAAAATGTCGACGAATACCATGAATGAGATTTCTTAATATTTTTTTTAAAGAAACTCTAACTCTTTAATCTCTAAAAATTAATTTCCGCACTCATTCAAACGGCATCATCAACACGAAAAAGCATCTTTTCACCACAGATTAAGGTCGTAATATTTCTTTTCTTTCAATTCGAAAAGTTATTTAGGTTTCACTCACGTATATTGCCTACAGGTACGGAATGTTTTTCACTTTCGAGACCCACTAACTTAATAATCTTCGTTTTTCCTTTTTCTTTCTTTTATTGTTGTTTTTAAAGAAATCACAAGCACGTTGTAATTGGATGTTTATTAACTCAATAGTATAACCGCAAAAAATAATTAAACCAGAAAATGCACCTTTACAAATCGTACAGAGACAAAATTAGACACAGTTAATGCGAAAATAATAATATATAATTGAGATTTTCCTTCTTTGATGTTGATGTAAGTTATTTTGGATCATTCGTTGGCTCATATTTTTTTCAGCTAATAAAGAAAGCACCCCGAGGGTCAGGGACTAACTGAGATTTTTTACTATATAGAAAAGGACTTGGAGATTAGAAATAAAGGGGAGAAGAAAATGGTCAATTTCTCTGTGTTGATGGGAATATAAATTTCACTAAAATTAAGGAATGAATTTGAGAAGAATAAAGTTTTCACCGTGCAAGATAAATAATTTTGTTTGATAAAATTAGTTTTAAAGTATCCTAAAATTCACGTAATCAAAGCAGGGAAATTATTTATATCAACGGTATGTTCAACGTTCCTATAGTTTTACCGTTACTGAAATTGAAATCTGTAAATAGATCATACTTTGAAGAGCTAATTTAGCATTCCTAAACCAATACCCCTGATACAGTCAATAGTGTGAGTAAGATCATAGTTTGGGTAAATATTGCAGTTTAAAACGCATTGTAATTTTATAACTGCTTCAAAGTAGACAAAATTCACATATCATTGGAATCTAGATCAGAAAGATGCTAAACCTCTGATTTACAAAATGAGAGCGATTTCTTTTAAGTCAAAAACGTTCAGCAAATGTCCTTTTCTCTTACTAGATACAAATCATTATGTTCTTGAAAGTTTCTTTCAATATGCCATTCATTGCATCATGTATACAACTCTTTTGAGAAAACATTTATTTAACAGATGGTAGACATAAAAATTTTCAATGATGAATGCAAAATTTAATAATAGTAATTGGTAGCCAAAATTTAGTAATATTAGGAAGGAAAAATAACTGCAGACCCATATCCAACCACGGCCTGTCACCGATCGCGTCACAAATAGATATCTTTTCTGCAATTTCTCCAGGTAAAATTCAATAAAATTTAATAAAGACAATATTTAAAGTTTTTGTATCCTTTCCACAACAGAGGCAAATTTGAATCGTTTCTTTAAAGAAAATTATAATAAATTTTGCCTTTTTTATTGGATACATAGTTGGTTAAAATAGTTTTGATAGGTTTTATATAAACCAACCCTTTCCTAAAAACGCTTTTAAATTTAGTAAAGAACAAACAAAGATGTCTGGGCAACAACCTGTTTATGCAAAGCACAAGCAAAATTCTTGTAAATCAACAACTATTCCCATATATCCAACAAATGTCCTTAACTGTCACCTAACGCGTCACAAATAGATGTCTTTTCTTAGCTTTTTCGAGGTAAAATTCAATAAAATTTAATAAAAGAAAATATTCGAAGTTTTTGTATTCTTTCAACAATAGAGGCAAATTTTAACCGTTATTTTAAAGAAAATTACAATGAATGTTAACTTATTTATTGGATATAGTTGGTTTAAATTATTTTAATAGCTTTTATATCAGCCAACTATTTCCTAAGAAAACTCTTACATTTAGTAAAGAATTACTTGAGATGTCAGTGCAACAACCTTTTTATCCAAAGCACAAGCGAAATTCTTGTAAATCAACAACTACTGACACATATCCAACTAATGCCCTTAACTGTCACCTAACGCGTCACAAATAGATGTCTTTTCTTTGATTTTTCCAGATAAAATTCAATGAAATAAAGTTTTTGTATCCTTTCAATAATAAAGGCAAATTTTAATCGTTATTTTGAAGAAAATTACAATAAATGTTAACTTATTTATTGGATATAGTTGGTTAAAATTATTTTAATAGCTTTTATATCAACCAACTCTTTCCTAAGAAAGCTCTTAAATTTAGTAAAAAGAATTACTTGAGATGTCAGTGCAACAACCTTTTTACGCAAAACACAAGCGAAATTCTTGTAAATCAACAACTACTGACACATATCCAACTAATGCCCTTGCCTGTCACTAAGACACATAATATAATGACCTTGCAAACTTCTTTCAATATGCCATTCATCTCGTCACAAATAGATGACTCTTCTCAGAAAAACATTTATTTAACCGATGACAGCTATTATCACTTTCACTGACGAGTTCTCTAGGAAAAATTCAAAGAGAATTGGAAAGAAAAATTCCCGAAGTCAAAGTGCCTGCTTTGGCAAGGTTTCTTATTTATCTTTTGTAAATGACATACTTTTTTTTTTAACATTAGGTGTGCACTCTACCATCCAAGTCCATTATGTGTACCATAAAAAAGCATTGCCGTTATTAATTTTCAGTTTCCGGCATTTAGAACAAAACACCTCCTTTAAACAGCCATGCTCCACTAATTGGTTAAATTGCCCGTGAAAGGGCTCACAAGGTTCGTCAAGCTCTGAGGATCCAGAGACCACTGAGTCAAGATGAGAGTCCAGTGAAGAGCCCAGCACTATTCCTCGCGTGATTTAAAAATATTTTTAGAATAGCTCTCAAGTGACATAACAGAAATCTTTCCCATTTCCTCTATGAGCGTGTTGAAACAACAAAATGTGCATGCATCATTGCTTTAATGAGAACATCCGATTACTTAAACTCAGCAGTAGAAATAAAATTGTGTAATCGGGTTAATTTTTTTTTAAATTCTAAGACCAATTTAGCAACATATCGCTAATGGGCTGCAATAGTGGCACAACTCAAAAAACACGTTTTATGGACTAAGAACATGTGTAAATATGAAAATACACATTCTTTTCAGCAGCAATACTAGCGAACTCATAATTCAACTTGAAGGTAATCTTCGTTTAAGCAAACTAAAGCATTTTCTATGCATTTTCACTAGCAATGAAAACGTTAAGCCCACTTATCACAAAACATGATTTTTTGAGTTGTGCCGCTATTGCAGCCCATGAGCGGTATATAATTTAAGCTTGTCGTTGACGAAAATTCTACGGGGTTCAAACCCCTTATAGCATTAAAGTAATGTTGGTGGTATCAAAATAGAGGCTGCCGTATTTTTTTTTTGATCATCGACATTTAGTGAATGCTCTCAATAAATTTGCGACTGAAGAGCACTGATATTCATCCATAATTATTTTATTTCAAAACCAAGTCATCAATATTGACCTCGGCCGGCATTAAAGCATCAATACCCTTGGCATTATAAAATATCGTTAAAGCTTTGCCCTTTTAATCAAAACACATCCAATTACATTCATCAAAGTTGAATGACAAAACATGAGAATTCTTTTTTTAATACATTTCTTTAAAAAAGGATTAATTAATTTTTTTAATACTTTGACATTAGTGTTAATAGTTCAACAGCCACATATTAATTTAATATTATTTTCAACTCGTAACCGTCTGCAAAAATTATTCCAGCTCTAAGACATTTTACAGAACTGTGTCAGCAAATTTATTAATTCGAGTTAAAAGTTAATTGTTATTATATATTCTTTATTTTAATTGGCATCCAACAACTATAATGCTGTTAAATGATTGCTCGTTTGAAATAACATCTTCATCTTTTGCTCTAATTTTACTTAATTTATGATTGCTAATTGTAATTAAAGTCTACTTAAGTTTAAATTAAACTCCAGCTTTTTAACCCGGATTTAAGCTTATCTGCCATCCGTTC